GCGCTCCAGACCCTTGCCACTACAAATATATTCACCAGGATATTCTTCTAGGTTGTGCACACGAGATATTTGCCTTGTAGAAATTAACTTCCATTTGGTTTTAACATTATTCAATGCCAAGTTGGAATGAAGAGAATAGTCTTCTAGTCTCGCTATTGTATTGTTTACGTTCGTCGTGCATTGATCAAGTTCATGGGGCTTAGAATGGTGGAAGAATGTTGTATCATCAGCATACTGATAACAGGGACATTGCAAATACACTTCAAGATTTGAAACATACAGATTGAATATTGTGGGACCAACAATTGAACCTTGTGATACACCAAATTTCAATGTAGCTAATTCTAATACCCTATTATCTATTTGAACAAATTGCCGTCGTTCGGTAAGATAGTTGGTCATCCGTAAAAGGAATTTATTCGAAAAACCAATCGCGTGCATCTTCTTCAATACAAACTTAAATTGGACAGTATCAAAGACCTTAGGGAAATCTGCACATACCAGCATTGTTACTTCTCCTTATTTCATTGCGCGAATAAGGTCATCACGAATTCCCAACAGAACAGAAGTCGTAGAATGTCCTTTACAAAAGCCAGATATGCGTGGTGTTAACAGCGACAATTCATCAATAAACTAGAAATTACATGCATGCGGAAACCCTCGCCTTGCTGACAAAACCATTGTATTTTCCAAACATGAAGTATCTAAAGTAGATGTAATGGTAACACGATAGTTTTTTAAGAATATTCTTACAAATAAAAAATCGTCTAAAAATATCACTTTTAATTACAAAATTATCAATTTCCCATCATATATATGTTAGGTATGTTATTATACTAATATAAGCTTCAATTTAAGGTAAAGTTCAACCACAAACGCTTCGCAAATCGTTTTAAAGTGTTCGTTATAAAATCAGACTGCCCTTACTTAATTACATGGATTTATCGATGACCTTTCCGCGTGCTTGCAGAGGTCTCTATTTCTCAAATTTTCGCATGCAAATAACTTCGCTTTCTTTTTTATTTAAAAAATTCAATATAATAAAAAGGGAATCAAATTAATAATACACTGAAATTATATGCTGTTTTGTTTAGTTCTTTCATATACGCAAAGGGCCAAAGGCCGTCGGGTTTAAAAGCAATCTTTAAATCAATATTTAAAACAAGCTTACATTCGTTAACGTCGGCTCCCTTCTTTTAGCCGATTCTTTCGCCCTTTCTTTACGAGAAAGCTTTTGAAATTTACAAAATCTTGCAAAAATGCGAGCAAAAATGAAATATATTTGCAAGAAATTTATCAATCATCAAATCAATAAATGTTTGCTATTTCGCTGTCGTCATGCAGTCGTTATAATGCAAACTATAAATTGGACTAATCAGTGTCTGCTATTCATGACAGTCCGCCATATTTATGAGATCAGTGAAGATGACCACCCACCCAACACCGAACATCGTTGGTGAGCGCCCGCGATAATTGATGAACTTTCGACTTTGCCGGCTAATGTTTTCCTTTGCGCCGTCGGCTCGGAAATAAAAGTAGTTGTCGAAGTACTATTCTTTCAAATATCTTAGATAAAACGGGCAGGATAGATATTGGACGTTAGTCTGTCTCATTCTCTGAATGTAAAATCTTGGGAATTGATGATACCCGAGCCGTTTTTCAAAGTTGTGGAAAGTATGAAGACTCAGTGCAAGTGTTAATGATGTATAAGTAAGAGATTCAGCTAAGTCCTCTGCCACCAACCTTATAAACTTTGCGGGTATTTCATCAACGCCAGTAGAACAGTCCATTCTCAACTTTCCTATTTCCTGAAGTATTTCATTTGTGAAGGTACGGCCTTTATGGTCAGATAGATTTTGGAATAATTCATATAGATCATCTGTGTTATCAGGCTCTGTGCACATAGTTCTTTCTGCATTGGTAATAGAATCTTTATTTAGAGTTTTTGGGTTTTCTCTTAACGGTTGCGGGCTTGGGTAAAGAACACAGTGGATAACTCTCCACACTTCTTTTGGTCGTTTTGGTTGTTAGAAAAGTTCTTTATTTTTAAAGACGCCACAATACGGCAAAAGGACTAGTTGGAATTAGTCCTTCTGAAGCTGTATCATTTGTATTAGAACTTTATGCTGGGCGAAGCAGTGATAAACAAATATCATTGGATTGTTGAATTCTAATTTTTTGGAAGAAGGTGACTCTGTCATGGCTGATTAAGGCTTCGAGATAGAAGGTGATATGCTGCAGGGTGTTTCTCTCAATATCCCTCCATTTCTAAGAGAAAAGGACCACTTGTCCATTGACGAAGAAACTGAAACTCACCGAATTGCCTCTGTGAGGATTCATGTTGAACCTGCAATTTCACGGATAAAAATTTAAAATCTTAAAAACTATATATCCCATAACATTAAGTTCAAATCTCAGTAACATCTGGGTTGTTTGTTCATACATGACAAACCTTTTGCCTCCTTTAATAAATAATCCAGAATAATAGTGGTAAGTAACACTTGATGTAATCGACTACAGAAAAAGCCCTGATGGGGAATGAATTGAAAAATGTATGTATGTGTGTAATTGACTTGAACAAGAATTATTGTCGATTTCAACTTAGTTTTCACTAAAATGTTCCGAACTTCGCAAATTCGATGCAAAGTTCAAAAGCTGATAATGAAATTTACAAATCGCTTTGTAAACTGAGCATCAACCTCGTACCCAGGGACTGAGCATTGTTTGGCTGGTTTAATTTAGTAGCCAATCAAAGACTTTGTTTACAAACCTGCTTGTGAATTTCATTATGAACTTTGCAACGAATTGCGAAGTTTGGAACATTTTAATGAAAACTGAGTTGAAATCGACAATAAAGCATACATAAAAGACAGCAATGAACACAAAAACAGGAATTGTTGGAGCCGTTTTCAGGAGGAGCCGTTTCCTCATTTCAGTTTAAATTAAATGCTGTTTATATGCTAAGCAATTATAGTTGAATCCCCTTCTCCCTTTGTATGTTTGGGAAGGGGCGTGACTTGGATCTTGGACTAGTAGATTTTTAATTGTTTTATTTAGGTGCTAAAATAGGAAGAATAAATGAGCAATAAAAATCTGTTAGCTCTAGTAACATTTTCTTCTCCCAGAGGCTAATGTCTCGATGCAATCTTTGGACATGAATGTCAATGTTAAATAAAATGTAAAATGTTCATTGTCCCTTGACACTGGTAGAAATATCCATGTTTGTCCTTCAGCTTTAGGCCAGAGATAGTGTTTTTCAAAAAGAAGTGTTTATCTTCATTGACAACATCAAGTACTGTAATGTCCTTTTTATCTCCACACATCCAACTACCGTACACTTTCCACAACAATACCACCAGGACTGCAGCCAAGTCATGGCCATCTTGGACTTACCACTAGGTCACAGCTTTTCACTTCCAAATTTTCTTTATTTTTCAGTTTTTGTATTTTTCTACAGCATTGGACTCATTCTCAATACCCCATTGTAGAGAAACTGGCATACGAGAACTGTGGCATTTAGTTTTTGGCCTTTCGCGCTCGTATTCGACTTCTCAGCTTTGCTCGTGGACAACCTAAATTGAAATAGCTGTATCGTCTTTGGTGACAGTCTGGCCATGGGTGTAAGGTGGTGTGCTACAATATTTCTCTCTCATAGTACTTGAATGCAATCTTTTATTGGTCTTTCTGTATTGTGCTTTCTGAAACAACAGCTCATCAAACTTAACAGCTTTGTTCAATGTTTTACGGCAGCCAGAAGGAATACCTCACTTTTGAGCGACTTGTGTACACGTAAGGTCATCAGGAATCATGCTTAAACCTAAGTTAACAAAATCTAATAGATTTTAAAGCAAAGCAGCAACGTGTTTGCAACAGCCACCTTGCCCTGCTTTACAAGTGCACTTTGCAGACTCGACTTCGCCCCTCTTCTGGTCAAAATGAACATAAACAGGGTAACTTACACTCTTCATGGACGCACTAACTCGAGCTTTCATCAGAAATAGTTGAATTTTACATTGCACGTTTGCCTTAACTTGAACATTATTGAAATAATCTTCTTTCCAAAGACCGTATCCTTTCTTCATGTTCCAATGAGCCCTTGGCGCTATTTTGTCAGGAATCGTGCGGCTGTTGTTTACCATTTTACTTTCTAATTTTTGGTGGGTGAACGGAGGAATATCTTGCAGTAATTTTGTTCATCCTTTGGTTTCGCTGTGCGGAAAACCTGCTGCATCGTTGTATAAATTAACTTTATCTTCGTCTATTCTGAACATACTAACAATCGGCGATATCGGTCGGACTTCAACGGACTCACTACGGCATACGTCCTTTCCAGAAGCTGCCATTTTTGTTTGAACATCACATTGACCACCCGTATAAGAGCTCTTAGAAGAACTAGGGTCACCAAGAATGATATATCATTTTCAAAAAAGGCACATGACGTATCGGTATTTCCAGATGCCAAGCCCGCCATTTTTGTTGTTTGCAATTTAAGGAATTTGACTATTAAGACCAGAATTTATAAGCGCGCGCATTAACCTTTATCACGTCATAAGGCGTAAGGTCTATTATACAGTACAAGACCGTGCCGCCTGATCGACTGTATATTAATGTGGCATGTATATGGTGGCCTATCGTTGTCATTCAAATTTTCTTGCAAAAATAAACAATATAAAATTAAATTAAAATTAAATTAATACAAAATTAAAACAAAATTGAATTAAAACACAATTATAAATAAAATTAAATAAAAATACTAAAGAAATTGATTTTACAACAAAACTAAATTGAAAGTAATTTCAATTTAGCACAAAAATCAAAGTAAAATGAATTTCAGGCCAGCCTATCGTTGTCACAGTATACCATAATGCTTTGCGCGAAACACGTGCAATATGGCGTACTTGAGAAATGTAGATTGGAAGGACGACCAATCTCTAAAAAATGATTTAGAAAAATACGTGAAGGAAGATTTGAGAAGAAACGAAATATTGAATTTTTTAAAGCGCGATTATCCTCAGTATGCGTGGAGTTTAAGCTCGCTAGACCGTCGAATGCGATATTTCGACATCAGCTACACAGACAAGAGTGTGACAGTCGAACAAGTGGAAGCGGCTGTGGCTAAAGAGATCGATGGCCCTGGTAAGCTCCTGGGTTACAGAGCCATGCAAAAGAAACTGCGACAAGAACATGAGCTTAACGTTCCCCGTGACTTAGTTTACGCTGTCATGCACGAAGTTTATCCGGAAGGATTAGAGACAAGAGGTGGCGTTGGAAATGCTAGGCAAAAGAAAAAAGGAAAATATACCACCAAAGGCCCTAATTTTGTTCATTCATTAGATGGACACGATAAGTTAATGGGCCACCAAAACAGTACCTTTCCACTTGCAATATATGAGTGCATAGACACAGCAAGTCGCAAAAATTTTATGGCTAAAAATTTGGGTAAGCAACTCAAATCCTAAACAAATTGGAAGTTGATATTTAGAATACTTGTATGAAACAAGAGTAATGCCATGGTATTCGAGGCTTGGTAAAGGAACAGAAACAGGCACAATGGCTACAATGCATGCCTACTTGCACCAGTTGCTTGGCAGTGATGATCCGTCTAATACCATCATATATGGTTCATCAACGTCAAATCAGGTAAACTTATAAATAAAGTGCGCAGTAAAGTGCTAAATAACCTAATATTAGGGAGTGGTCATTATTCACGGGGAGGGGGGGGGGGTGGTAAATGGGG